CTGTTTGCTGCATTAGGCAGCCACTGTAGCATCTATTTAGTAAGCCTCTCTGTGTCAAAGTGGATGCAGTATATGTCGGAACTCAGGAAATACTGCCCGACATCTCTAAGCCCACTTTCAAATAGAAAGTAGCATTTGGCCGGTACGGCAGTGCCAGTTAACACTTAACGTGTTCAAAAATTAATTAATATGCTGCACAGCGATTCAATTTCTTATGCTTGATTTGTGGTAAACTATGGTTTCTTAAAGGCCGATGTTTGAGGAAAGCGCAAAATTAGTTAATAGTTGCCATTTATTGCCCCAGGCGTATTTGTCAGTATAAGGTGTATTCAATTGCACAGGAGGTTTGTAAACCGCATACTAGGTACGTGCTCAAAATAGCACGCAGTCCTAAGTGTCTGCATGAATGGACCTCTCAGTATCCACGGCATACCTCAGTAGACCTGGCCAACGTTGCGGATTTAACAGGTATCATCCATAGACTTGCAATTATTTCCGTTTACGTGGATAATTAGACGAGTTTCCTAAAACAGTTCATAGCTACGGAACTCTTTTCAATCCAACAAGCGGACTTTAGTCATCTTAAGAAAAGATTGACCTTTTGACTTTCTACAGCCGTTCTTAAGAAATAGGACTGAATACGTGAAAGCATTTCAGATCAGCAGAAACAGTGTACACTTCAGTAGAAGTAAACATGTGATTTCCAGGCCGAATGTCAGAAGAAGAGGAAAAAGGGGAGGCGTTCACCGGGAAACAGAATTAACCGGTCTCTGAGGATGGCTAGGTTAATTCAATAGTCGACATTCCAAATCTCAAATAAGTCTCTCCAGGCGAATGTTTCTTCTTTTTTCGACAAAGTGCACCACTTGAGTAATGTTTTTTTTCCTTTAATGTGATTTGGTAAGCCGACTGCAAGCGTTCTTGAGCAAACATCTGCCTGCAAAAGTACATTTCACACCACTGGATTGTATTTAGTGCTGCTCAGTACTGGAAACTCACCAGAGTAAGCCCATCAGTGCCAGTCAGTGGTAAGTGTGCTATGACATGTGCTGTAAACTAGAAAACGAAGCGATCCGAATCGGCTTTTGTGGAAACTCACACGCCTCAATAGCCGTATAAATTACCTCGAGGAGGAAGTTTATGCACACTATTAAAAGGTGCAAACAACTATTCGAGTATATTAATAATTGCCTACAGACGTGGTAGAAAGAGCCGAAAAGAAGGAGGCTTATTCATTAATAATCATAATAGAGAACAGGTAGTCGACTTAATCAGCTCGTAGAGTTCAGCGAATTTCATTTCAACGTTTACTACAAAACCAGAATAATTTTCGTGGTCGCCATTAGGTTAGAAAAAAAACAGCGCAGTCCCTTCCCGTCCGTTAGACCGCAGAGTTTAATCGGTCACGTGTCTAAGAAAGTCAGCCGCAGACGGCTGGATCACGCGACAACTGAAAATAGCTTCAGCACGGCTGTCTCGATAGGTAGGCAAGAAAGAAAGGTGGGATTCATATTGACTCAACTGTGAAAAACTCCGCGCCTCAATGGGATTCGAACCCACGCAGTAAGGGGAAGGCCTTAGTACAGCCAACGCTCTAACCACTTGAGCTACGAGGCCCCGCCGGGCGACGCGAGTTTAATATTATTTAAGTCAAGTTACCTGCCCAACCTACTGCAACGTCTGGAAACCACCAAATCTGATGCAGTAAGTTGACTGCCCTGGCAGAATTTTCGAAGTAATTCACCTAGAAACCACCAGATGACCACCATGCTCACGTAATTCATAGATAGTTTGGCAGATTTTGAATAATTCATAGCTCAAGTGCTTAGAGCTTTGGTTGTACTAAAGCCTTCCCCTTACTGCGTGGGTTCGAATCCCACCGAGGTACTGAGTTTTTCACAGTTGGGTCAATATGAATTACTCAAAATCTGTCAAAATATCTATGGGAGGTTGGATCGTTATTCCGCCTTAAAGTTTTGAGAGCACGTACAGAATAAAAGCCTTGAATGACCTTATAGAAACCGTCCGTTGCTGACTGTGTCATCGGATAAGAATGACTGATATGTGCTCCGGCTGGACGAATTCCTGAACCCCTCGCGTTCCAGCTGAACACTTGTAGAGCAAGATTTTCACCTTTTATCGGTCTTTCATGTTTAAACCTCCTTCCTAAAGCATCAGCTCGTACTTCCAACATCAAGCTTCAAAGTTTATGTCGCCGTCGGGATTATGGGTGAATTCTGGGATGCGGTCTTTTATCCCTTTTTGTTTGCTGTTTTTCCCGTCCATTACCAATTTTTTACATTTCGGCGAACATAACTGCAACACTGGCCAGTTGTACCTTTGAAATCTGTTGCAACTGTCCGGCTCAACACATACGTGCTAAAGCCTCCTTCAGCAAGTGTAATGTCCCGAGGGGAGGATGAGAGGGAAAGATGCCGGTCTCCGGGGGACAAGCGTTCTATTCTGAATGCCCGAGAAACCAGGTGTCGAGCACGCTGAAACCTGCCTTTTTTAACTGACGTCCAGCGGTTCTAGAACACTCGGAATTTCGATTTATCGCTTGTGGGTTGGCTGTATCGTGTCTAACAACCCCTCTTAGGAGGCTCTTCAATGTTCTAAAGGAGTTGAGTACAGTGTTCCGCCCCTTTTTTATTTTTGTTTAATCGTTGCGAATGGAAAAAAACGTGTTCTTGTGTATATCCGACCTGCAAGGACTTCAAGAGGAAACTGTCAGCCAATGTAGTCTGAATAAGCGTTACTCGCTGGCCGTCTCTTTATTTTCTGTGCTCCAGATTTTCTAGTTGCCACTTTCATAATTCGTTATCCAAGCTTTGAAATCAGATCCGAATTATCTACTCTTTATAAGTTTGAACCAGTCTGGGCTGTGTAGATTTGTGTTCTTTGATAATTAACCCTCCAGTAACGAATTATGAAGAAATATTTCTTTCTACAGAGGGGTTGGGATTATCGGGTAGCTGGTACCACTCCTGCCTCCACCCGACCTCGGATATCACCTACCAGCCCTTTTGCTGATGTTTCTTCGCATTACCCTGCACAACATTCTGCATATACCCGTTTACCACAGGCCTACTCCTGCCAAGTCGTTATCTCGTCAAAATATGCGTGACCTGCTCCGTGGCTTGACTGTTTTGCTGACTAGTGAACATACTTACGAGCACAAGTCCTGCCTTCCGAGCTTTTTGTCTCCATCAGCACGCAAACCTGTGTATACCGCCGGACTTAACCCAGTCTCTGACTTTTAGGAATCCCGCAAAATACTTTTACACCTCTTTGAACGCCCTATCGTTTTTAATAAACGCCTTGCCGCTCAACGATAACTGCCCAAACAGTATATCTATGACATCGTTAGTAGACGGTTGCACCCTGATTCCGTGGTCTTCCCCAACCTATGAGAAGTTAATTGTGACAGTCAAGCCCTCTAGGTCTTCCACAGGGCCATAAAACACACCGCCACCGACATTCCTTTCGCACTCTTACAGATTGTCAGCTGTTGTCCGGTAGTGTCGGATTTGAAAGATACACCACGAAGACACCAAATAACGCCCACCATCTTCGGAGTGAAACAACCCTCTACTCATGTAATTTCCTGGTCATAACTTCCGTTATAAGTCATCCGCCTCGTTCGGTCCCCTAGCTTAACAATGTGGACACAAGCCGCATAGTAAGTCCTCATTTGTTTTTCCTACCTGAATAGCCAGATCCACCTCCCCGCCCCTCTAATTCAATTATTAACGTTGCTGGCCAAACCAGCCCCACCCTTACTGAAGTAGTTACGGTCGTACTTCTCATGAATACCTCTAGCTTACTCCTTCATCAGCGTGGCCAAACAGAGTCCTTCTGCACACGCGGCAGTCTTTCATTATCAAACGCTGCCACAATTCCTATTGTAAGATTATAGCTCTCTATTGTGTTCTTGTGGAGTAGGCAGTGATCCGCCTCTTCCTTTTTACACCGAACAGTCGTTGGTCCTTCGGCCTAAAAATCGCCTTACTAACTGCCGAGAAACGGCGTCAACTGCTAGGAACTCCCTCAACGGCTGGTTTATCTCCAATTTTAGCAGATGATTTGGAATATATGCACAAGACAGTTATTTCGGCTGTGGCTTTTGACTCCAATAAATTAAGTGATATCCATTCACTCCAATCAGCCTTTGAATCCTACGCACAGATGTAACTCCACTTTCTCGAATGGTTTACTTTGTCTTCTACTAAGTTCGGACGCGCACACCTATTTCGACACACTCTAGACCCGGGAAACGCCGAACCTATTTGACAATCCCTACGCAGCATAGCTATCCGATACTGTGGTCACACCAACGAGATATCCGAAGAAGTGTTGCAGATAAGTTTAACCCAGCCGCCCTTGTCCACTCGGGGGTCCTCTGTAGCATTTTTCGGTAGGACAAGGGAATAGCAACCCGCTCCCGCGTCCTCAATAATACGAGCGATATTGCACCAAATATCAGGGAGAGTGGGGGTAGGGCTAAGGTTAGGGTCAAACCTAGGCTTAGGTATATGCTTAATTTCTGGGCTAGGCCTAGTGTAAGGGTCTGGACATGGGAACATGCATACTGCTCAGCAGGATTTGGCGCAAATCCACCTGTGCTACTAAAAGTTCCTATTCTCATGTCTTAGTCATTATTATCCAAAAGTGTGGTGTACCCCACCTCTGCGTATAGTATCACAGTGCGAGCCATAATAGATGCCCTGGCGAATACAGCGTTGCTTTCGAACTTAGACCTCAAGTCAGGTTACTTGTAAATCGAAATCCACCGAATAACCAAAAGAATGGATATTTTTATGCATGTTTTCTATGAAATATAATTTAATTTTTAAAGGCATCGAAAAGTAATGAGAAAAATCCATGTTACATAAGTAGCCATTTTTTACAGAGTGTAATTTTCGCATGCAGCCGGAAAGAAGTTATTTCTATAGCCAGTATCCTTTGGTAATCAAATTATTATACGATGACGCCGCACGATGATCTGTCGTCAACGTAACGTCGCCATGAGGCTGTTTGAATTCTGCCAACAAACTTTCTTCACTTTTGCGGGAGAGACCTATGAACAAGTCAAGGGAACCCCTATGGGCTCACCGGTCTCCGGTTTGGTGGCAGAACTGGTCCTACAGGAGTTGGAAAAGATTGCCTTCCTCAAACATGAACCGGTGTTTTGGCGACGTTACGTTGACGACACGTTCGTCATCGTAAAGAAGGACATGCTGCAACATTTTCACAGCCTGCTCAACGCAGTCTTCCCGGATATAAAATTCACGAGAGAAGAAGAACAGGAGCAGCAGTTGCCCTTCCTGGATGTGCTCGTCAGACGAAACCTTAACGGTGAACTTGAAACGACGGTTTATAGGAAGGCAACGAACACCACACAGCTTCTCAGTTTTCACAGCAACCATCCGGTGGTTCACAAACGAAGCTGTGTGAAGACGCTCTTCAAACGGATCCAAACTCATTGCAGCAAACTGGAAGACAGAACGCGTGAGGCCCGTTATCTCCGCGACCAGTTTGTGCAGAATGGCTATCCGAGGGCATTCATAAGTCGCTGCCTACGCGGTCGCCACCAGAGAACTCAAACATCAACGCCACCGACGATATGGCATGCTCTGCCATTCATCAAGGGTGTTTCAGAAGCGACCGAGCGCATTGCTGCGGAGCTAGGGGTTGGAATCGCACACCGCCCCAAAGCCCCCATGCGCAACAGGGTCATGAAGATCAAAGACCGGTTAAAACCTGAAGAGCAATCTGGAGTAGTGTATCGCATTCCGTGTAAAAATTGTCCTTGTAATTACACAGGACAGACTGGACGCATGCTCGGATCGCGCATACATGAACATAAGCTGGCTGTGCGGCGAGGCGACGCATTGTCACAAGTGGCTGCCCACACCTACGAAATGGGTCACGAGTTTGACTTCGCAGCCACAAAAAATAGTCGCCCACGCCGGAAACAAAACAGGCCGAGAATTGGTTGAAGCCTGGGCCTCGGATGAGAACTCGGTCAATCGATTTATCGATCTGGCGCCGGCGTACAGAGCCCTTCGTTGTCACCTCCAGTCGTGCGACGTCGGTCGATGATTGGGTCTACGTGTCTTATAACTGCCGCTTGTCCTGTTTCTGCCACTACCTCTGACGATGGACTCCTGTACGAGTCTGAAAGCTCAGGATAATAAACGAATTGTTCCGGTGCTCGATTCTTCTTCTTCTTCTTCTTCAAATATGTATACACCTGGAACTCGAAATTTCGCCTTCATTCGTAAATCTACACACACATTACACCTCCACACACCCTCACGGGGGCACTAAGTCAAGTGTTATTACCTCTGGCAAGGTCCATTCGTCATCCTAAAATTCTCACCCCGGCAACCCTACTTCTCCGCGAAGGCATGCAACTCCTAACACCTTGATTTACGGGGTATTTCATCAAACCCAAGCCCTACTGTCCACAGCTTCTGGTATGCACAAGCGACGCAGTACCCGTCCTTTGCATTAGAAGTTGAGATCACAATATACTCCCCTCCTCCTCCCCCCCCCCTCCCCGCCCCAACCTTCATTGACAGCAAAATCACTCAGCAGAATTCTAAGGCCTGGAAAAAGTTATGCAACATCCGAACATGCAATTCCGCCTCCTCCCAATTTTCGTTTTTTATCATCACTAATGGAAGAGACACTTTTATGTAGATATCTGCTCTAAATAGACGTCCTCGAGAAACTTGAAACCTTTAGGACTTCTATAAACATTGTGACCTAATTGTTTTGCGTGTTTTCTGTGTTTCAGTTATCCCGGTCGGCGAATTTACACATCCGTTGCCTAGACTTTCATATCAGTCACAAATTAACAACCATGCACTCTGCAATCTCGAACCATTTTTGACTGAGTTGGTTTGTGCACCATGATACTGAACCCTTTAGTAATAAATTTCAGGGAAATAGTTCCACCAGGTGAGGGAAATTATCAGTTAATGGGGCTATTGAACCTCTGACCGGCCATTGGTCGGGTTTCGCGCGCGAGAAAAGGCCTTACGCCCCCTTGAGGATGCATCACAGGTTGATTGGCTAACTGACTGCACGCGCGCAACTCGTAGTCGGCCTGACCTGCTGTGCGCACGTGATCGAGATTAACTTCCGCTCTATCCTGTTTCCGTTCTGCGTGCCAGGTACGACCTCGAACCCACCCTTGACTCTATGTAGCTTTCACTTTTTTCGTAACCTCTGTACAAATTCTGCCCCCGACGAAGTTCTGGCTGACGGCGAAATCAAGTCAGCTAAGACGGGATGCGAACGCGTGTCGGCCGTGAAATAGAGCACTAAGTGAAGTTGATTGTGTAATCGCCTGCGGCGTTCCAGATCCTGCGGGCATGCCTCAATTACCGAGGCTGCTGAGGTCAGAGCAAGCAACACGCCGACATAGTTGGCAACACCAACACAGACAAAAGGGAGTTAATAAGGGCGGGCAATAAGTTCACCAGGGAGCTCGGATACTATCTAATTTCACCCGTGCCCATTTGCACCTGTAAAACAGACTACTTTTCCGCCCTTTCTAAAAAAAAATCGGAAAAACGGAATAAACGAAGTGCCACGCTCTATTTGATGTGTTGTTTTCCGTTGGCAGATCAGAAACTAGAAAAGTGGATCAGGTCCGCTAGGCGTTAACCTTCGCTTTGGAACAAGGGAAGGGAGAGTGCTTCCCCTTTCTGAAATGTCTATCTATTATAACGTCTGATGTAACAATTCGCAGAAATGTGATTTCGCAAGGAAACGTAGACAGGGCACCACATAAACTTCCACAATTCTGTCCCTCTTAGTCAGAAACGAAACCTAACCCGCTGTCCGACCAAACGAACTAGGAGAATATGGCCAGCGGATACGCAGAAAACAAACTCACCTTCGCACAAGACACTGTTAGAAAATGGTCTTCATGACAAGTTTATCACGAGATATGTGGAAGAACGTGTGCGCTCGAAAACGGGCCACGTTGTAGATGTGCTGGGCCATATTGGGCTCTGGGAGGTATTATCGGATTTGCGCACCATAACAAATGCCAGCACTGGCAGACCCAGTCGCCGGCAGACATGCCGCCCTCCATTTTCGTTGTTGGTTAAAATCCTGGTCATTTGATGTGTGGGCCAGGGGGTGTGGAGTGTAGCACCAAGTTTCGGGCTCGACCGTGTCATCGAACTGCGCCCTCCCCGCCTCCGCTCTTCTTGATTCTGTCTTGACATCGGGCCCCGGGTCGGAGAGGAGGAGGGGGATGCAGTAAGTGCTTTGAAAGTCTGCTATCATCATAAATTAATTCACGCACGGCATCGGGCTGCTCCGCCTTGTTGTGGAGCACACGGCGGACGTCGTCGGCAACGACGGTCGAACTGTCGTATGTGGAAGAACATATACCAAAAACGGACGTGCCGACGGCTGAAAAGGGACTATTCCTCACATTGTAATTTTCAGGGAACTTGACAAGCAAATTTTTACAGCATCGCCTGAACTTTGTTACTGCGAGCATGTACCCGGTCGTTAGGCCCTCCGCTCGGCCATCTTGGATTTAGAGATAACCTCTCCCCTCAGACTTCTTTAATGGGCAATTACGTCTTTACTTGCTCCACTGGTGCAGTTTATATTGGTTGGACGACAAAGCTCCTCCTCCCCCCCCCTCCACCTCAACCTCCTACACCTCCTCTCCCTCCCCTTCCTCCCCACGCCCCCAATACAACTAAACTATAATTCCCTCAGGTTCTGACATGTCTGAGCCCCCTTAACCCCCTCCTCATTACTACTGTTCGCTGGCTGGCTTTAATTTTGCAATTTTACCACAATCTATTTATATTACTGCATAAGTCTAACGATGGATTTGAGTTCTGCAACTGTCTCTGATGATGGATTCGAGTGAGAATCCGAAAGGTCAGCCCAATAAACTTCCTGTTCCAGCGATTGCATCTTCTTCATTTTCTGAATTTGACGTCTTCATGGGTATCTTCCCAAAACCTGAGACAAGAACTGTTTATCAAATGAATCGTATTTCAATTTTGTTCCTTTTTATTTTCCTTTGTCAGATCCTTTGTCGCTTTAGAAAATACTCCCTATTGAAATCGTTTGGGTCACCTACCCGCCTTTGAACATTTCGTACTTTTCCCTTGTCAGCCTACGCATACGTTGTTTCGTTGCGTTTTGCGGCTTTTATGGTTTCTTTTCGCCCTGTATTGTTGCCACTGTGTTTCCTTTTAACACTGTCGGCATTTTCAACCTTCCACCTCCATCCTTCTTTTTTATTCCGCCTTTTCCCTCAAAATCTGCTCTATAAGTATTTGCCAAACACCCCAGCACTCGCATTTAATTCGAGTCCATGCGGTTCGCTCGAAAAAGGGATGTCAGCGTACTCAGTTTTCTTGGTACGAACACCAATGCGTCCTTTGTCTCACGGTGTTTTTTGGCCACCCCCACAGTTCCCGTCCCTGTCGATAGGTTCGTTCGACTTATCACGCTGGAGGAAAGGAAGAGTCGCCAACGCATAAGGCCAACCGCCCCGCAACAACGAATGGGTGGTTTTGGACCGAAAAGCTGTCAATGAGGCAGCTATCACTGTCGCCTTTATTGGATACAATGACGTCACACTATCTGGCTGTATAAGCTTGCATACCCTAAAAATTTTAATATTAAAAACCTACCGTTATTGAGCTTTCATTTTCTTCTCCAAACTTGTCGTGGAGAACAGGCTCCAAATAGAGCCAACTTACTTATGACGCATGCTTATCCATGCTGACAGCACAGGTACTGGCTAAAAGTCCATACGCGTGTTTCTCTGATATTCTGCAACTACATGGCACAGCTGTAGGGGCTCGGCTCATTAGTGGTTCCCCGTGTGCTTTCTGGTAGATAGTCCAGCCAACCGGATCGCTGCCGCCAAAGCCAAAAGAGCCGTTCGCAACGCGCAAGCGTCTCTCGCCCACAGCGCCCACACCCGACCCCGCCCAAGGTGCCCACGCTGTCAACGGAAATTCCGCTCGCGCATCGGCCCCCTCGGACATCTCCAGACCCAGTGCAATAACAACCCAACAAATCCACCTGCTGCCTCACAAACGCCCGTGCCCAACCCCTCGACATCCACAACAACGACCTCCCTCGCCACCGAGGATCACACTTCCGATGTTCCGCCGTCCGCGACCATCGTCACCTCCATCCTGCCCCTGCGATGACGTACACTACAGCCTTTTCCACTGCCACCACCGATGAGAACACTCCCGATGTCCCGTCAGCCATTACTCTCACCATCCTTCCCACCACCACCAATGTGGACTCGATCTGGTTGGTCACTTGCAGCACACTGTGGCCGATGCACCAGTGCCAGGAGTCCCAGCATGTACTCGCCGCATCCGCCTCCATTGTCCGCACTGTTCGTGCCAATTCACTCAACACACGGGCCTTTTCGGCCACGGGCATATCCACGACAGCAGGATTCACCGCAATATCGACACGACAAAAACACCTTGCATACTTGACAAATTCCTCATCTCCAGCACTGTCAACTCTCCATCCAATAACATGGTCACGGCTAGAAGTAGTATCACCGCAACCGGCTCAGCAACCTCCAACCTATTCTGACCATACTGCGACCGCACATGACCGCCACACATCGGCTTGGTCGGTCACTCGAGAATCCATTGCGCAGAGACCGGCGAACCAGTGCCCGGAGCACCAGAATGCACCCGTCGCCACCGACTTCACTGTTCGTACTTCTTACGTGCCTTCGACCATCGCAACGGGCCCACTTGGCTTCATGCGTCTCCATGAAAATCTGTGGTGAATCACAGCAAGCTTGACTATATCATCACACACACTTCCCCAGCAACATATTGATCACACATCAACAGGCCCAATGTCGCAGACACTAAATAGACACCTCTCACGCAAGTGAGAAGTGTGTTCTTCGGCTTCTTCTCAATGTGGCTCCTCTGCTACGCGCAAGATCTGAGCAGTCCACTACTACCGTGTGAAATCCTATTTCGTTCATTTGGGGAGCAAGTCGAGTGTGACAAGTGCGGAGACATTGTTCTTAGTATTGTCAGCTAATTCTCCCAATCTCAGCATCGGTGGGTAGACCGGCTCGCATGGGGAATGGATGAGAGAGACAGAGAGAAGTCGACTCTCGGCGCATTGTACTCACCATAAACAACCTGACGCGCTCGAGGCTCACGGTACGCTAAAAGTCGTCGCTCAGAAGGTTATCAACTGACAATTCATCTCGGACCTCGCAGCCAGTCCAATGCGCGTTTGTATAGAATGTTCGACTGGTGAACTGTTTGTCAGACTGCAATGGATCCTCCCTAATGTGACCTTTACGTCACTCCTATCTGGTTGGGATCCGAGCCGCCCTTTCCCTTTCTTATTGAATGAAATGCGGTGGTTTGTACGTGGGACCAGGGGGTGTGGTGACAGCCCCAGGTGCGGGTTCATGCCGCGTCTCTCCCGCCTCCGGTCCTTTTGACTCTGTCGTGACACCAAACCTAGGCGGGGGAGAAGGGAAGAGTGAGGTGGATGCTGCGAAAGTCACCATCACTGCAGACTAATTCACGAGTAAGTCACCGTCCTTGCGCCCACCCTGTTGTAAGGCACACGGCGGACATTGTCGGAAACGACAGTCAGTCTGTCATTCTAGTTTTCAAATTTGTCCACTTTAATCCCCTCAGAAATTAATGGATAACTGGAAGTAAATCTGTCTGAACTAATCTTTTTAGGCTCGATCCGAAATTTTGTATGGACCTTTGGACCGAAGTCGAGCAGCTACAGTGGGATAATTTCGTAATATTCACAAACCACTAACAGACAGCCAGTACAGACAGATGTTGCAAGATTTAATATACTGAGAGAACAGGTACTAGCTGAAAACCCTTAGGCATATTTAATTTCGACTGACTTACCCCAAGTTAGCCACCACTTTTTGAGGAGATCAAGAAGCTGTTATTCTTCTCGACAGTTCATGATCGACTTTGTTTTAATGCAAATTCATATATTCAAATTTTGTGGCAATGAACTTCGAAGTGAAGGAATTACTCATGCTTCAATGTGCAGGCACAGGCATTATAAAATAATGCCGTTTTATTTTTATCGTTTCAAGCTACAGGATTCTGAAGGGTCAACATTGAACACGGGAACCTTTGATCCCACCCAGTAATAATTTCGACATCCATTAAGTGCTTAAAAGTACATGCGCTTATTTCTCAGATGTATTACTTTATTCTTCATCCCTCTTATCCAGTCTTGCAAAAATGTGTCTCAGCACGTTATACTTAGCGAACTGAAGTCAGAGGCTCTTGTGTCATACTTCGTAAGTGATTACACTCAGAATACTTATTATCTACTGAACATGCTTTAGTCTTGCATTGTGCGCTCGCCACTGCGGCATTACTGTACACAAGTCTGGGTAGGAACGGGACACTGCCCCCCCCCTTCCCCCTAAATTTTGCTCGAGGAAACGATGATTTTCCACGGGATTATTAGAGTACTTCTCTAGCATATTAAAACGCGCGTACACGCAAATACAATTTTCAACTATTTCACAATTTAGACCCCGCGTTTCCTGTCTTCAAAGGCTATACCCGTAAAAATCCCTACTTTCTAACACTACGTGAACCTCTTATTTCACGCGGGTTTATTGCGACAACTCTTAGCACATTAAAACAAGCACACGGTGCAAACGCGGTTTATGTTTCTCCTCATACTTCAGACCTTCGCATCTGCCATCTTAAAAGGCCCGCCCAATTACCAACACTTCTCTATTACAGGTAACAGTGCCCCGTATTTTAGGCTGGGGAGCCATATATTCGGCCCCCACCAAAGTTTGCGAGTTTTCTGACTAAATATCCTGTTACAGAGAAGATTGTCTTCATCCATCTTGAGTTTTAGTCAGATATATGCGGGCCGCACTAAGCGCCCCATTGTAAAATTATCCACCGTACTGATAATACAGGTACTCAATATCTACCTGTTCATGCCTACTGATTCTCAGTGTGGTAAAACGAGCTACCGTCAGCCAAATTTATTGCTGCATTTTATGGTAGAAAAGTCACAAATTTGCAAAACAAAATTTTTGAAACTTAATCCGCTCCATGTTTTTGAAAATAGTGCAATTTCAAATACTTGTAAGTGTGTTGTCAGTATGGTAAATAATTACACAATTATATACTACTGGCTACCTGTTGGAGGCTTGTGAATATTACGCGGTTATTCCGCAGCACCTGATGGATTGCAGCTCAAATATTCCTATCGGATTTTGGACCGTGCCTTAAAGGCTCTGCTCCGAAGGATTTATTCCAAGTCTGTGCATGAATTTCCGCGGAAATTAAACAAAGCAAGCGTCCTGTTGTTTGAGAGGACACCTTGCGGTCTGGGGTCGATAAGTATCGTTTAGGAAAAAGATTCAGAGGACCGGCATCTCATGATAATCCTTTCCCTTGCCAGTTCGCATAGACCAGTATCTTACCTGCTTTTGAAGGCTACCAGAGAGCATGACTCGGGACTTGTTCAGGCATGCATCGCCTCCCTAACCTCTTTCGCCCTCGCGGTACGAGTTCTGCCAATGACATCGCTGGTCAGAACAGTCTAATATGACAAGTAACGACAAGCGCGTGTGCATGCGCATATTTCTATTTCTGACCCTTTTTGCTGCTCAGAATTATGGTTGACTGAGCAAAGGAAAGATAATCCTGAAAAAGTCCTGTGTCAGTCAACTTGTATGTTTGTCGTCATCCCCGCCCACCTCTGTCACCGTATCTTGACTGCGTTCGGCCTGGCAGCTGGTCGCCCGCTCATGACGCCAGCTTCAGGAGTGCGCCCATTCTTGTGTGAAGTATGGGTGTCTTCGCATGACTTAATGGGCATGAGTACGGTTAATTCGCGCCGGACTTTGCAGTTACTTAACAGTTCTTCATGTGTTTCCGCCCATTCACTGGGCCGGCTACTACGTTGCCATTCAATGTGAATGACATAGGCATTGCGCACTTTCTTCTCGTTCTTGAATCAAGGTAGAATTAGTGAAGCTTTCCCAGTCCTTGCCAGAAGGATTAGAGCTAGGATTAGGGGGGGGGGTTATGAGAGCTACTGTTAGACTTAGCGTCAAAGTTAGGACACGGAGACCTCTGAAATCTAGCGCAGGGCCACTTGTAATTCTGGGGGGTCCACATCCCCGTATCAAACCCCCCGATCCCTGACCTCGCCATAAATCTAGACCCTTTAATTAGCATTGGTTTATTAGTTATCATTTGGTGACATGGCCACATTATATGTTGTTTTTACCCGACATACAGTAGATGATCTAGCTTATATGACGTAGTGGTCAGCATTTGAGAGGGTAGTACCACATGCATTTGATGTGGTTATTTTGTTTATTGAATTGACTCTAGGCACAGAATGCCTCTTACTAATAAAGAATTAATTTCGGACCAGTTTTATAGAAGGAAAGCGGGGCACGATCAGGCAAAACCAGACGTTCTCTGATATTCAAGTGGTTTCCTAAGTTATATAGTGTTACATGTCAAAGCTTCTTACTGTTACGTTTTGTTTTGTAAGGGAACGTTGATATTATTAAGACGCTTTTCAAGCACATCCCAACTATGAACCAAAAATAGGATTTTTTGTTCGTGAGAATTAAGTGAATCCGAGCATTTTCAATCGCATTATTTTCAAGACACGGAGCGGATTAATTTTCAAAAATTCTGCTTTGTTTATTTGTGACTTTTCTACCATAAAGTGCAACAATAAACTTGACTAACTGTAGTTTGCTTTATCGCACCGAGAATCAGTAGGCGTAAACAGATAGACATGGAGTATCCACGGCACGCTGTCACTTTTCTCTGTCACACCGGGAGATGAGGAGGTCGAAGAACTTCTCGTCTGGCGTCGATTTTGAGTGTATACGAAAATTGGCAGCTGAAGGGTTGCCGCTTGAGCCGTTAGCTAGTGTTTTCAATATGATACAGCCATTTCCAAGTGGGAAACTCGTTGAAGAACGTTTTCCGCTTGCTCAAAAATATATTTATCACTGATTTTCATACTGGAGAAACATTTATTTTTGTGATGTGATCTTATTTTTAAACAAGCCTCCGAAGTCGGCCCAGAGGGTCATATTTGCGAAGAACTTCCCACGGGAGCACACTGCATCGACACCAAATTTCAAGAACTGTCGACAGCTGATGTTTTT